TAGAGAACAAGTTTTTCGACATGGAAGGTCTGACATAGCTGCGCTAGAGACACTTGAATGAATCTCTCTCATATCAAAAGTACCACATCCGCAAAAATTTATGGTTCACAGAAAATATGCAAAAAAGGAATATTAGTGAAGGAATTCAAAATTCTGGTATTTGGTTACCTGTACACGATCAATTGCGTCGCCGCTATTGCACAGCACAGCAGCCAGTGATGATTTCCGGATTTGCTGAAGTTGTAGCGAAGTAAATACCCCTTCATTCTCATACCTTTAAAAAATAATCACGAACTGTGCTGCCAATTCAGCTTTTCAAAATTCCAAGAACATGATGTAACGTGAAAAGACTGGCATAAATCTTGAAATTTAGTGTTACCAAAAGCGATCGCCAGCACGTAGGCGTCGAAACTGGTCTCCAAGGATGCAGGCAATCGTTGGGCCCACTAGAGCACCGGCTAGTCGTCGTTCCGAGATTAAACCCACCCATAAGTCAATGTTTCCTGAAAAACAAGGCAACTGGTTGAGAGCTGAAGACAAAACAACAGTGCTGACTGGATTAAATTTGACTGCTTGAAAAAAGGCATGCATCTGACCGCAAACTGACAGTGCGATTGCGCTAAATCAAAAATACAAATGTGTTTCCCTCGAAATCGCAAGTCTATCCACTAGCTGATGCACTCAGCTTTGACTAAATTCACCCTCTAACTCAAAACCAAACCTGTACTGTACTTTCTGAGGTGTTGAGGCACCTTACTTTAGTAATTGTCAGGTATATGTGTGTGTGAGTGTGTGTGTGCGTATGTGTGTGTGAGCATATTTGTGTGTGTTTGTGTGCTTTGTGTTTGTTTGCTTGTGTATATGTATGTTTGTATGTGTGTGTGTCTTTGCATTTCAGTGTGATACCACATCCCCAAACCAACTGTTCCAGCTTGATGATTTCTTCCGCTGCACCCCAGTTTCTCATGGAGCTTTAACTGAATGAAGGAAAATTTGCAGTTCAGGAGAAGGATCCGCGGGAGACAAGTGGCTGCACACGGAATAAAAAAAACAAACCGGGGTGCCCATAAAGCTCTTTGAGCTTGGCGCGTACACGATCATCCGGGATATCATTTGCTAAATCATCCCATGTTTCAGGTACACTGAAATTGCACCAGCGCCGAAATTCGGTATACCTAAAAGAAACATTTAGAAATTTTTTTCTTCAAGTCTCTAAAATGCCTTTTTTTTGTAAATCTTGGGGTTAGGTACTCCGGAAAAGGCTTAAAAGTAGTTTTACACTATCTAGTATAAAACTACTGAATCATTTACGATCGTTATCATTACTGCAATGCGCGCACCCTGTATCTGAAAAAAAGGTGTATCCCAACAGAAACATCATTTGGGCCTTCTCGAGTATGCCACCTGTGAATTTACCTTTACAAGCAAAAGTTTTTTAGCCCTTCAGCAGAATCATTTCTCCGTTGCTTTCTGCTCCTTTTTCATTATGCCCTTCAAATTAAGTACTTTCTGCCCTTCCTCCCTCTCCTCCTCACATCCAAGAAATCTGATACGCCTTACTTCCAGCATTCCGACCTCCGCAATCATTTGAATGGAAATGCAGAGAAGTCGTTTTTTATGCGTTTTTTGCAGCAATGCAATGCGAAAAACGCATATTGACGAGA